TTGTTTTTTGTTCGTGCCTGTGAATATGTATATCTTTTCTTATTAATACTTTTAGATACTTATATTATTGCACTGCCCAACTTGTCTAAACCGCGAATCTCCCGAACGATATTCATAGACTCGGGTCTATGTTAGAAATAATGGCATGGCATGTCAATCCGAGGATTTTCTACACTCCAGTTTTCCCAGCCTTAACAGACAAGTCACTTACTACAAAAACTTGAGCGATGCTTTGACAGGATATAGTTGTTAATAGAGATTAGCTGTTACTCGTTAAAACAAAAATACATATAAACAAACACAAACAAAAAGAATAAAAAGGAAAAGAACACGAAAAGAAAGAAGAAAAGGCCTACTTATTTAAAGTTAGTGTTTCCAATTAGATCATATGGATGCGACTATATCATTTTAGATTGTATAAAAAAAAATATATATATCCAAATCAGGAAACAATGAAAGTACTAGATACTTCAGCCCTTCACGTAAACTTAGCTTACGTCGTAGAAATGCTAAGATCAGTCAAAAGTTAATGCCAACTTTATCTTAACCGTGCCTCTGCAAAAAATACCCAAAAAAAACGTAATTTCTCAAATTTTTTTCCCATATATTAAGTTGAATTCGTTAGAGAAGGATAGCGACAAATGACAGTATTTAGGTGATTTATTTTTTTTAATAAAATTTTTAACCAATTTATAATTAAAAACTAAAAATTTGACTTTTTTTTTAATTATATAGTTCTTAGTAAAAAATTGTAGAAAAGTACATGTAACCTCTTTCGCAAAGCATAATAGTGTTTAACGGTGTAAAAATATATATTTTTTTCCTGTAAATGAAAACGAATAACAATTCAAAAAAGACATTTTCTAATGCATTGTTGTTTCATATTAGCAAAAACTAGACATGAATTTAAAACCTGAGTTTAAAAGAAGTTAATTAACTTTGCAACTATTTTATAAAAAAAAAACTAAAAATTGGATTTGTTTTAATTATTTAGTTTTAAAAAAAAGAAGGTCTAGAAAAATACATGTAACCTCTTTCTCAATGCTTAATAGAACTTAACGGTTTAAATACCCTTTTTTCTTGTATTTGAAGTAGAATAACAATTTTAAAAAGACACCATTAAGGCATTTTTGTTTCGTGTTACCACAAAACTAGACATTAGCTTAAAACCTGAGCTACAAAATTATAAACTTTAATTTTTTATAACTTCGATTTTTGACTTTTATTCCCCTTCCCGCACACGCGCTAATTATAAGTATATAAAGAAAACAAAATTTTCAAATCTTACCTTTCTGATAATTTGTTTTTACTACAAAGGCTGTTTAACGAAAATTTAAAAGGATGACTTAAAGATGAGCACAACTCACAAAAATTACTGGTGATGACGAAGCCACCATTAGTAAAAATAGTAAAATTATTAACATTTTAATAAGCGAATAATAGAACGACTTAAAGGTAATAAGATAAAGCTCTTTAGCACATATTACATAGGATAATAATATCTATAAATATTTATAAAACGCCTAACATATATAGAGAAAAACGTACAGGTATTCTTGAACGAATAATTACCATAAAAAATTAATTATGTGATTATTTTGCTATAGACTATTTTAACCAATATCTATACAAATATGGCAATTTCTGGTTTGACTTGTATCTAAATAGAACCAGATTAAACATGTTTATACGGAAAAAAAAAAATCTCAAACCTAATTTATACTCATATACATATATAGAACTCATTTTTAACCTTTAGGAAAGGTTAAAGATATGGTCTAACAGACGAGATTTAAAGCATAGCAGATCGAGGTGTTTGCCTGGCAGAGGAGCTGGCCGGTGTCTCCAAGTGGCCTGGAGTTTTGTGATTAAAACTGCCTCCCTCCGCTGGTGGTTTTTAGCAGTTTTCTATCTACACTATACCAAATGGTGGAAGCCTGAGGCCTGCATCTCCTGCTTTTCCTGTCCTTCCGGACGGTTATTATAACTATAAAGAGCGTACACTTGTTGGTACTCGTGCCTTACTCCTAATTTAAGAGTAAGCAGCTTAACGGACTTCAAATGTTAAAGATGAATTAACAATGTTTTTAAATCACAAAATCAGCTAGGCATTTAGGGATAGTGTAAAATAATTTCCTTTAAGGCAAAGTTTAAGCTTACTATTTCTAAAGAAATATTCCAGAAGTCTACGCCTATAGGTTTCATTGGGATTAAATTGTATCAAATTTACCTTATGTAACCAGGCAGCGTCTGTCCCTTAAAAGAGAGAAAATTTATCTTTTCAATCCTTCAACTAGGGCGGTTTCATCTTTTACTATAGTAGCGCAACCCAGGTAGCTAGCATTCCTAGATATTAGTTAAATAGTTTTCTACTAAAGTATAACTTTTTTTGATATAAAACGGCCTTTTCTAATTTAACAGTGAGGTGTTAAGCATCTTACTAATAATATTAATCGGATGTTATTAAACCGAGCTGTAATTTCTGTCGTCAGTTCGACGGAGGATTTAGCTCACTACTATTTTAAGTTCCGACTTTATTTGTCCTATGTGTTATTATATTTAGTTTATACGTTTTTATCTTTGGCAACTTAAAATAAATCTATCTATCTATCTACTAACCATCTACTCTTATCTTATGTCTTTTATAATTTACTTTTATCTTTATCTGTGTGTATAATTCCAATTTAACTTGGAAATCTAAATCCCATCCAATATTGCAGCATGCTGAACTCCTGATTGCAAACTGGTATATATATTAGTGTACAGCAAACAAATAAGAAAAGGACTCCCTATCGTTATTACACCTATTACACTTTATGCGTAATTACTGCAGGTATAGGCCCGTGCGGATTCTGCCTGATGTCTGTAGAGCATTAATGGGTAATTTACTAGAAGTACTTAGACGGTCCTCATAAAAAAAATGTAATTTTGGAGAATGACATGACTCTTTGTTAGTTGATAAAGGAGCTAGTAAAAGCAAACTAGTTCACGATACGGGTATGTATTTTTTTTTTTTAAAATTAAAGAACAAGTTATCCAATCTACAAGACAGTAATTTTTCTTTCTGTAGAGTGACGGTGCCTGAATCTAAACTGTAGTTTTAGCAACACATTGCACTCTTTAAAAAATGATTCTAGTCGGCGCAGCGCAAAAGCTTCAATAGTTTCTTCGACTTCCGAAAGCGGGCTGCTAAAACAGTATTTGCTGACGTCTGAAGAAGGTCTGGGTGTCTCTTCGAGGGCAACAAGATGGTCATTGTTTTTCAAATTTAAAAGGAGTCAACTGAGACCACACATTATCAGAATTTGCAGTTCAGGATATATGATTTATTTCAACTTAAACTTTTTTTAAGTAATTTGCTGGTGCGCCTTCGGTGTTGGACTCCCTTCGCTAGAGAAATACATAGTTATAACAATGATATCAGTAAGTTTATCAGCGGTTCACAACTTAATGAGTTCTTTTGCATCGGATAACGGACCTTGCGAGATCTTCCCCTTGATTCCCGAGCAGCAAATCTTGCCGAAAACATGCATCTTCGTCGCTTTCACCATAAGTATATATATAAGATATCATGACTTTTGAAAATTGGTTAAATATTAAGAAAAGTCAAAAAAAAAAAATACGTTATTTATTTATATTAAATGAGGAAACTGGTGAATTTAATAAGTTTTAGATTAATGTTTTTTAGTAAGATCTGGTTGCATATGTTAAATTTATTCGCCATGAAGGATGGTACATTCATTGAAACAGCTTGTAGAAAATAGATCTTTTTAGATCTTAACTAGTAAGAAGTTATCAGATTAACACAATTTTCATAAAGTTATTTAAAAATTTTACGACGCAAAAAACATTGTATCAATAGGCTATGTGTAACTCAATTACAATTATATTCCATAATGGTCTTATACATGAAGTTGGTATTACACGGGTTCAATTTTTTTTTCCGTGTGTCGTTTTGAAGTGTTTATGATTTTTCCGAAATAAATCATGACCTATAAGATATTTTGTTTGTTCTATAATTTTCTAATTCTTAAAATATAGACTGTGAAATTAGAAGTATAAACGTAAAATTTTTAAAATGCGATTTTTTTTTTTCAATGATTAACACATTGAGATACAAAGAGTTTTACAGTAAGTTTTCAAAATTCTACTCTACAACGCGTATATAGGCTTTTAAAAGCCAGAATTTGACACACAGCAATAATAAAAAATTCTCATGTTGGGTTAAACTCCATTCCGATAGCATATGCACCACCGAAGGAAAATGTTAAAGGATTTTTTTATTATTACAAATTCTAGTGCTCGATCGTGTCGTAAAAGGAAACACAGAATTTACGGTTAGCTTAAGCTTGTGTTAAAGCATTCTCATATGTACATTAAAAATAATTCTATCCTTAACCCCTTATATATATCTAGAGTCCATGACGTGTTCAGTGATAGTGTTCGCCAGCCCAGATTTCTTATTTGAGCTCATCTGTCAGTATTCGATAGGTGTGCTGATCGAACCGAGCATAGGTTGCGATACAGTGCGTGGAAAAACGTTACCTAGAGGTTCAATCTGGAAGACTTGGTGTAAAGCATCGTTGCAAACCATCTACAGCGCATCCTTCATAAGGCTTACCTGGTTGTTTTGTCTCACTTGAAGAGAAGAGACTATTGCGGGAGAATCGCAAGCCCAGGCAGTGAACTCGTATGTCATGATCAGTGGGGATGCACAACTAATACATGCGCCGTTTGTTGTGCAGCGAGAGTTTGCTTCGGGCACGAAGTAAAGGGTAAAGAGTATGAACCGCCGCCTTGACCTTCGCCGCGATATAGTTTACGTGCTGCAGCCACGAGAGCTTATATTCGTTAATGACCCCCAATTATTTCGCCTCAGGACACTAAGGAATTAGCTTATTTTCTATGGTCAGCGGCGCTTGTGGTGTAGTGGGCTTCCAAGTGATAAAAAAGGGCTTTGCACTTTCTGCATTCTTAGTATTTTCCAACGCCGCCCCTAGATGGTAAGCGTCGCTAGGTCGTACTACAGGTTCTGGCGCGTTAGGGCAGGTGGCTCTGACGAGGAGTAAATCTCTGTATCATCCGCATATAAGACAAGGTGCGTGTGGGGTAGTCAGGTTGTTGCACGTCTCGCAGAAAAAGTGTAAAGAATAGGGGTGATGAAAGAGATTCCAGTGGGACTCCTGTTGTTAATGATCCTAAGGATGAGCGCGCATTGCCCACACGTATATTATAGATGCGTTCCTTATAGTAATATTTGGTCACGTTTAAAAGAATAGTAGGAAAGGCTATAGCGCACAATTTGTGAAGCAGGCCCCTTGCGTAAAAAACTAGCTTAAAACTGGTGGTGTTATGTAGGTATCTTCCTATAGCTCAGTGCCATTTAGTTGATTCAATGCCTAAAAGTAACTAATTAGGTCAACTAAAATAGTGCTTTTTCAATTTATGATTTTTTATATATAATCCTTTAGCAATTATTTTAGTATTTCTTAATTGTTGCATTTTTGATTTTAGTTTCTTTATATATTTTCGAGGCTTACTTGCATAATTCTATCACACGCTCTCAGGGTTCTATTGCATATTTTCCTTTATAGCCTTTTGTCATACGCATGTCCTCTCTTGAGTTAGCTTGACCTCGATGAAGGACTATAATTACCAGGATGAATTCGGATCATACGAGATTTCGCAGTCGTTAGCTCTGGAAGTTTCTTTCCTCAAATGCTGGCTTTAAAAAATTGTTAACATCATCCGATAAATCAAGGTTTTCGTGCGAACAACTAGGCAGTGGCTAAGGTATCCTAATGAAGCTAGATAACCCTGTTTAATAAAAAACGACCAGGGAAATATTCAAAATCTAATTGAGCTATATGGGCGGTGTCTGCTAAAAATGGTATATACCAATAACTAAAGCTATTCGTACAGTGCCTTGTACAAAGAACTATATTCAAGTCTATCTATATATAAGATGTAAGCACTTTTATAGTCAGCCAAGGTACCTTAGTCATATACTATACTTTCATACATAGTCAAAAAACTCAATTACATTTCTAGGGTACCAGTTTCCAACTAGTCCACTGCCGAAATTAAAGCGGCGAATATTGTCAGTTAGCATCACTCGCATTTTTCAAATTTTCGAAGAGTGCATTACACCCTGAATTTTCGGCCACATCTATTTGCTCAAGATGCAGTACTTACTCGATGGATTTATTAGCCGTCGTCTAAGAAGAAAACGATTCAGTAGGCAATGCAGCTAGTATACTAAAAACAGCTATTCTTTCAATAAATCAACCACCTACCCCGCTACATGAAACAGCATAATCACTTTGTCAAGTAAAACTGTGATTAACAAAGTACATACTATTTGCACCAGTCAGAGAGGATCTAGCACCTACGAAAGGTCTGTTGTCTGCTCATATATTAAAAATTTTAAATCAGTTATTACGAATCGAGCGTAAACAACCTTAAGACTCTTCTCGAGTCTAAGGTTAGGGTTAGGGTTTAGAAATTATGTATAAAAATGAAATAATAATAGGCTCTTCTGGAAGTCCCCTAGGGTTCGGGTTCGTACTTTTAAATTAAATGAAGAAATGGAGTCTAGATAATTTTGTGGACCAATTAAATATTATTAAAAAATTTATCAATTAAAGGTGAACAATTTAAAAAATAAGAACCAAAATCGCCATATTAGAAGCCAAGAGCCTAAGTTGCCTTATTTTGTAATCGAGGGCCCTACTACTCATTTACATTAACGTTGCAACTACTACTAACAATTTCCCGGCCCCTTTTACGTGAGCTACAAATTGTATTAAGAAGTTCGTTGCTCTTTAACCTTTCAGGTTGTTTTACTAAATTTTTAGATTTTATTTTTTAAATTACTTATAAATATTTTTGCTATTTTATTCCAGGTATCAACATAAGTTTGAGCACTGTTTTTTTACAACTTTTTTTTTTCTTTCATTATTTTTACTATTATATAAATAAATTGTCGTCAAAAGAAAAGTTACTTTTTGGATGTTAAATTTTTAAGAAGCTTATGCAAGCACCTAGCTTTATAGCAATTGTTTTTTTTATAACTCTAAACCTTTTAGATTTATAAAACTGTATTCATACTCTCGCTGTATAAACTCGCTTAGTTGCGATCATTTAATATAATTGACTAAAATATAGGTTTTAAGTTTTTGTTTAAATTGTTAAGCGCACGAATATTATTAAGATCTGTTGACTATAAAGTAGTAAACTTTAAAAGGAAAAATTTGAATTTTAATAAATATTTACTATAAATCGAAGACAATTTTTTTTAACAATGTTCACTTAGTTTAAAAATGTTTTTTATATTATATAACATAATAAATGAATCGAGGAAAAATTTGGTCGGATTAAGCTTATAGTCTGTCGGTTGTAAGACGATGGCGCATTACCACTTCTCACTCGAATAAATTCTCCGCACATAGATAATGCGATGGTGTCGTATAGCGTAAACGGAGTGCCTGATGCGCTTATTTTTTGCATGAGATTCTCTTTCTACGCCAATGGCTTCCTTAAACATTTGCCCGCGTTGTGCACTAAAGAAGTGTAAAAAAGTATACATTTCACGGGTAACGCACGTTCAAATAAAGAAAAGCAACTAATGGAGTGTACTACGCCTAATACTCTTTCCATCTGATAGCTTTTGGCTTAGTTCTACGAGCTAAGACGATGAAGCTCAGTTACCCAATTTGAGTCAGTTAGTTCAATTCCAGTTAATTTTCGAGAATGTTAATAGACGTTATCGGGCATGATTAATTTTTAATTGCCCTGATCCTTCAATTTTGTTTCAAACTCATTGCGATAGTGCAAATAGTAGGGTATACTAGTAACTTAACCCTTTGACGGGCAAAACTGGGCTTGTAATAGTTTTGTTTTTTTCTGCGGGAACACTTCCTATGTTGAAACTATACTTTAAAATTTAATTTTATACATCTCAATTAATCTTTTAACGAGCAAAACTCTGGAGATTAAAATAGATTTGTTTTTTCTGCAAATCCACTAATATGGACCTAGGCGAGAAGTGGTAAACGGTATTCAGTAACTTATAAGGGGTGAAATTTAAGCGGTGAGTGGTCACTGGCTGACTGCACAAGGTGTATAACGTTAATGACAGTTGTTTGTTAAAAGTCAAATCTCTATAAAAGTAAAGACTATAAAATTTTCAAAAAATAAAGTTATTACAATGTTTACTTTTAAAGGAACTTGTAAAATTTAAAATTGTTGTAAGGCAAAAATTAGAATATGTAGACTTTCAATTAGTGAAATTTACAATTTATTGACTTGCAATTATATGAACACCATTAATTTACTGTTTGTAGGTGAAGGGAACTTTTCTTTTACTTTAGCTATAGTGCGAAGAGAAAAAAAGGAAAAAACTTTAAAAAATCAACTTCAAAGTGTGTATGGTTCATCAACCCCCCTTAAGCCCTTTCAAGAAGTGCCTTCTTTAATCAACCTTCAAATAACAGCTACTTCATATGATTGTTACGAAAATCTGTTACAAAAATATCATGACTTTCATATTATTTATAACCATCTGCAAAAATATAACTATTGTCGTCTTGAATTTGAAGTCAACGCTGTAGCCCTTGAAAGTTGCTCGAGACTTAAAAATCAAAAGGCAGTTATTTTGTAAATTTTTTGTTAATTTCTTTTGCTTCCATATAAAAAGTATTTTAGTTTTTTATTTCTGTTTTTTCCTACTATTTCATGTATTTTATTATTGTTTTTACAACTGAGGATTGACATTTTTCTTCTAGAAGTTTTATATACTTTTAGCTTTGACGCTTTATATAATATATAAGTTTTTTGTTCATATCTATAAGGTATACGTCTTTGTAAATTTCATTTTTTCATCTATAAACTATTTTTTGTATTCTTAATGAGGGGTAAGTTGTTGTTGCATATTTTTTAAAAATTTTTATTGCTCGCAATAAATTAGTCTCTAGAGCGAAAAAAAATTAAATTTTTTTTGGAATATATGTTATACCTTTAACTGTTTTTTACTAAACATAATCCTGATTTAATTCGTTTCCCTTTTTTTAAATGAGTTTCTTGTTGATATTATACTAACTCAGATTTTTTTTAATTTTTATAAACTAGTTTGATGCAGTAGTTTTTAACCATCCTCATCTTGGAATTGAGGACAGTCAACTTAACGGCGCTTTAATATCGCACTTTTTTTACGCAATAAAAACTTTTCTTAAACCAGAAGGTCAAATTCAAATAGCTTTACTGAACTCTCAAAGCGAACGCTGGGATTTAATTAACCCTGCTGAATCACAGGTAGTTAATTCTCCTTTAAAAAAATGTCTTAAGTTTTTAATTTTGTATTTAGGGGTTTCTGCTACTTGACAAAAGTCCCTTTAATAAACATCTTTGCCATTATGGATATCAAGCCAAACGCAGTAATTACGGCCAGTCTTTTCAAAATGTTCATACGCAGAGGCACATGAACTGTGAACAGGAAAGTATTGTTTACGTCTTTATTCCTAGAAGCTTCCCCCAAAGTGAAATTCTCTTCTCATTTTTACTTTCATTTAGGTCGTCTAAGAGCAGTAGCAGTAGTGGAAACACAGAACTTGAAGAACTTGAGTGTAGCCAATGCGGAAAACGCTTTAAAAACGCACGTGGCCAAACCACACACTTCCATCAAGTTCATAAACTGGAGTTATACGAGCGCGATCGGCTTGATTCAAAAGTGTGCCGCTACTGTGAGCCGCATAGACGCTTTAATAGTCAGTCCGCATACAATAACCACCAAATAGCTAAACATTTAGCTTATAATGACGAAGTTGAGGGACAGGCTATTAGTTACCCCTCGCATAGTCAGGGTTATAAAAAATGTGATATATGTTTGCTTGATATCACTAGTCAAGACGAAGAGGTGCTCCATGTTAGACTCTTAGAACCACGCATCCAATGGCATAACTGCTCCTCTTGCGGAAAAATATTTTCAAACCAACGCCCCTGTCGCCAGCATTAGAATTTCTGCGCAAAATTTTGCTAGACTTAAATAAAAGAATTTACTTAATTTAATTTAGAAAAAAAAAGGGAGAAATTTTTAAGCTGATTTTTTTTTAAGAAAATTCTTTAGGCTAAGCTTATGTAGCCTAAGTCTTATTCTGTAGAATTTTTTTAGTACTTAAAAGAAGACGCAATTATGTAGGGCGCAAGCTTGTGAATGCATATATGACCCACAACTATCTGACTTTTACTGAAATGAAGAACTCTAAAAATCAATGTAAATATAACCGTGCAGTATTCGATAAACTTTTCTTTTAATGGATTTCGACGGTATTAAAATAATTGAGATAGGGCGCGAATACTAGTGAAAAGATCATTTTTACTATATGAAAACTTTATGTTCAATAAAACATATCTTAAGCTAGACTTACAGCTGGGGGTTTTTCTCCTGTCCTTTTAAATTATCTTAGAGACTTCACCTCACTATATCTCTAACAAATGCAATATATCTATAAGTCCGGTGGTTGTATCATTTTTACGCACGAAATTACGGAAACTAGTTTGACATCTACACTCCACAAAGTTTTATAACAGGGATTTTTACAGGTCCCCTAAGGGTTAGGGTAGGCTGTGGTAGGAGTTTCGAGGGTTTGATTGTTTTATAGAAAATGTCATTACGAATACACCCCATGGCTTTTTAGCCAATCTCTGCGGATAAAATAATGAGACAGGCCTCATTATCAGTAAAATATTTTTAGTTATCGGAACTCTATAAATCTAACCACTAGATAATGAGACAAAGTGTTAGAGAAAAGGGAGCAATTAGGTTCTTTATAAGGTGCATTTAAATTCGCTTTAAAGGCTAACCGTAAGGACAGACTTTCTTTTCACTCGAATAAACCGCCCCTCTTATGTAGCGTTATTATAGAAAAAGGAGGTTTTTGGTGACGACGCTTCATAATTCAACTATTCTTCTAAGTGACCTAAAATTTTCACATTCACGGAACTGAGTTAATTTTTTGTTCTTAGTTCATGAAATAGTTTTAACACTTTCTTAACCGGATCGACGAGCTTGTTTGAGGGCGCCTTATTCCTTGGGGAGCATAGTTATGAAAAATCTACTTTTCTGTGAAGTCGATATTAACGTTCCTTAAGAGAAGCGGGTAACTTAAACTTGGTGGCAGTACGTTGACTGTCTCTACAGCATTTTAATTTGGTATACAAACAAGGCGAATGGGTCATCAAGCTCTATTTCGTTTCTCAATACTGTCGGGTTGAACTGAATTTGTGCATATCACAAAGAGCGAAACGACGACTAAATGCTGGGATAATTCTGATAGCTCTAAAAGTGTGACGGATGGATCTCCATTCCGCAAGGCCCAAAGGAGTGGGGGGGGGCTTACTTTCTTTGGGTTACATTAACCGCCAATTACTATAATGTTGCAGTTTGCTTGCAAAATTTCCAAAAATAGTTGGAAACTTAACCTCCAGGATATTCAGAAAACAGTTTCCTGGTTATTGACCCTCGTGGTCCTGTTGTAACCACAACTATATAAAAAGTGCCCAATGGAAAAGCGGGATAGAAAATCGTAGGGGTGGGTTTGGAACAAAGGCTCCAGCTTCAAGACTTAATCTTTAAAGAGTATTTTTAGAATATGCAAAAGCTTTGTATCTCCTACTAAATAAACCCAAATGTTTTGACAACCCGATAGGTTGTAGGGTGCATAAAGTACATTTTTAGAAAAGCCTTCATCATAGCAACTCTAGTTACAAGCAAAGTAGTCTTAAAATCTTATTGTAGACGAAAAATACTACCAACAAAAATACTTGTTTGTAAATAGACAATATATGGCGAATACATGAATACATTTTCGACTAAACATAAGCAAGACAACCCTATTTGGGGGCTACAAAATCGTTTGCAGAAGGGAAATTAGAAAATGTCCATTTTTCTGCATTCACCATTAATTTTTTTTACAAGGTCAATATCCTCACGAGGTTACTTTGGTCACATGGCGGCTACAAGAGTAATGAAAGTAAACAGAACTCAAACTTAAACAAGCAAGCCCTGAAACTATTGTAGGCAGGACCCATTTGGATCAAGTAGTGCGAATGATAGTAAAATACTCCGATTTCCATTCCAGGGAATATTGTTCGATATTTTTACTTATTTAAAAATCCTTCATCTATAAAAGCGTTATTGGAGGGATTTCAAAGGCGCATAACTCCTTTGCTAAAGGTTATTAACTTTTGTTCTTTATATATAAAATTAACTAAGTTACTTAAACATGGTAATTAAAACTTTTTTTTATTATCCTATTAAGAAGGTTGAAACTGTTTTTGGTTTAAAGGTACGCGGTCTTTCATTTGACACTACTCTAGCATTTAATTGGGCTGCGCTTTCGTTCCTGCCCGGTTCAAATTTTGTTTACTATAAAAGCGGGGCTAAGTCATTATAAATTTTTTCTGTTTTTTTTACTGCATCTTTCCTTGTTCCTGCAGTAAAACAGATAACTTATCTAGGCAAACTATAAGCGTGGAGTACAAGGAGTACGCTTGTGAAAAACTTGAAATCAATGCTGAAAGCATCAGCCCTGGAGATGACGTCGTCGTGATCATATATGACTTCCTTGCTATTGGCGGAATTATGGAGGTTTCTACAACCTCATACAATCCTCCTTTCCCTTATAGAGTTATTCCTAGGCTAATATTCTTGTTATTATAAGGCTGCTCTAGACCTGCTAAAAACCTGGAGGAAATGTCATAAAATGCATGGTGCATATCGAAATCACCGAGTTTAAGGGGAAAAATATTATTGGCGACCCCTTGTTACGCACTTTCTGAAAGAAAATGGGATATATGTACAATGCTTTTAATCCCACACACATAGCGCTTTTGGAATATGTTTTCAGCGCATCAAGTCCTTTTCGAATTTTTTTTTGTTAGTTAAATAAAAATTTCATAATTTCTTAAAAAATTTTGCTGGTTTAATTATAAAAATTACGTAAACACATATACACTTAGCATATTGAACGAAAATTTTCAATTTATGTTCAAAGTCTAGCAAAGACGAGTTTACACGGTTCAAGTTAGCGCAAAGGAACTTTTTGTAAATATAAATAACCTTAATTAGGACTACGAATTAAATTAACAACCATAACAATTTTTCATCTCAAGCGGCAAACATATTTAAAGTTCCTTGCTTAGAAGAATATAAAGGGTTTGAGCTTTTGAAGTTTGACTGATTACGTGAGAATTTCATTCTGCTTTTGCAGTGTGACGTTTTTTTATGGGGTAACACCTTAATAGTGCCAAGTGTAAAGTCTCGGCCCCTTGACAAACTATTATCTACCCCAAAAGAGGGCGACCACTTTTCTGCATCTGGGAAAATTTAACATGTGTTAACATCCCACTAAATACTACGTATAAGTCGGGTAGCGCAAGATTTTTAAATTAATGTGAAGGAGGAAGGGTGTCCGAGTTAGCCCTCAAGATGTTAAAGCTTTTGTATAAATTACCTTTATCCCTACTTGTTGGTTTAAAATTGCGAGTAAAAACGAAATAGTTTTGAAGTTGGTAATAAGCACATGGCTAAAGAAACGGAAGAAATATTATCCCCATAACAATTGCTGGTTTCTCTTTACCCAGTGTATACCTACGTAATACACCATCTATCTTACTTCCGTTTGTCAATAGTCAACTTTAGTTACAAATTACAAAATACGACCATGTTTCCTTATTTCGCACCTTAAATTTAGAAGAGATATTTTAATCTCGGCTTACCACTCCAGTAACATTTTGTAGGATGTTCAAGGAACAATATGTTGTCCAATTCTTAAATAATGAAGAGTATCTAAAAGATGTCTACTATCGTGCTTAAATATCTTTATTTTAAGCAGGCAGGTTTTCGTGCGATTCCTTAAATTAACCTTCTCCCCTGTTTTAATGTTATAAAGTTGTTAGGGGCTATAGTTTGGCTATGGGGTTGGCTATGGGGTTGTGAGCTTATAAGAGATTGTACTTTACGATAATTTGTATATTAACTGTGGGCTAAAATAAATCCCATATATATTGATTATTACGCCCTTTGCTTACTGCTTAAGTTGCAATACGGCTCCTTTTTAAAGGGTTTGTTTTTTTCCCAAATCCCAAGTACTCGTAATATACAACATAAAAACCACGCCTACTCCTTCTTAGACAGGAACTAGGGGTATATATTATTTGGATACAATCTTAAACAAGCAATAAACGAAAATATGCCTTAAAAAGTAACTTCGCTACCATCTTGAGAAGACTTTTACGATTAGTTTATACAGGTCCGTTCATAAACATTATTTTCTGTATCCTCTTTCTTGCTAGAACTATAGTACTTTAAAAGAATTCTACAAACATAGCTTCTATATGCACTTTAAAAAAACTTTTTGACTTCCTATACATTCTTACCTTTGCCTATACTGATTGCACCTAAAAGTTAAAGTTAAGCGTTTTTTTTATTGAAAAACGTCAAAAAGTGGACGCACCTATCAAAAACTGGGTGTTTTTTTTTTCTGTTTTTCGCTTCATTACTAGTTGTTCAAAAACTCAATTCATCATCATTGTTATATTTTTTTAAGCACCTTATAAAGAAAATTGAGGTGTTATTGCCACAAGCCTTAGTCTGGACTTTTAACTTCCATTTTGTAGACTATATTATCGTGCCCTACTGTAATGTATAAATTAAAATTATTTTAGTGTCACATAATAATTTTCTTCTTTTTATTTTCTCGTTTTATGCCATTTTTAATTTTCCGGCCTTTCATTTAATCTGCAGAAAATTTTAAGAACTTTTTATTTTATAGATTATTTAAGACACTAATTTATAGTATAATACCGCTAAACCCTATATTACTCTCGCATATTTGTATTACGTTGAATTTATGCAAGATGGTTGTGAATTAACTTGCGATGCTGCTTGCTGGTTTAATTTAGCTAAAGTAGAACGTTTGTGGGGATCGGCTTTGCCATCTCAATTCAAATTAT